GATTCATTCTATTAATATTTAATCAAATTTTTCGAAAATCAAAAAAAAAAAAAAAAATTTCTTTTACCCATTGTTTTCCATTAATAAGATGATGCATTGAATCTAATGAACAAAAACCATAATGTGATAAAAATAAACGAATACTTTCGAAATGTTTTTGACATCTACAAAAAATTTAATAAATAATTTTTATTTGAGAAAATTTTAATTATATTTATACTCTTGTGGTTTGCATTCTGGTATCGGTTTTTCATCAATTAAATAAGTACGTTGTATAGCATTTTCTTCAATTTTAATTTGTTTTGTTTTTAATGTTCGAAATAAATTTAATTTTTCTTCATCACGTTTAACAACAGAATTTAATGTTGGAATACTTAATTCACTAATACAACAAAAACAAAAAACAAAACGATCAGATCGATTAAAAAAAATTAATTTTTTAAATTCATAGTAAAACAAAAAAAAAAGAAAAAGAGTGAAGCATAAGGGGTTTGGTTAGATTAGTTTTGTTTCAATATAATATAGATACCCATATCATACAACATATAAAGCAGAATATAAAATAGTTATTCTATATGGATATTTTGAATTTACTTACGGTGGATGATAAAAACTGAAAGAAATTATATAAAATATGTTTTACGAAATAATAACTAGAGAAGTATGTTAGATTAGTGTATGACATTATTACCAACCTGCTATGTCGAGATGAATCGCTAGAATTGTTTTTATTTTTTTTGTATATACTCTCATATTAGGATAATATGTTGTTTTTTTTAATGTATTTACCTTTTTGCTCGTTCATTTCGTGTACTATGTGGTAGAACAAGTTTTTCTTTATGATCATTGACTGAACTAATGGTTGATGATGAAGTTGTTTTATCATTTTCACTCAAAATTCGTTCACTAGACTAGAACATGAAAATTTTGGTTTTTTTTTTACTTTGATTTGAATTACAATAAATAAATTAGTAGTTACTTGATTTCGACGTATTAGTAGATTTGATAGAGGATTATAACGAAAATTTAATGTCCAAACATTTTTACCGAATAATCCACGACAAAGAAGAATAATTGCTGGCATACCTATCGAACACAAAAGAATTTTTTCAAGACAAATATTTCTAAAAATAATAATACTTGGAATAGAACTGGCCGGTAAAAAAGAAATTTCGACCAGTTCCAAGTATGTAACAGTCTGTCTTTTGATGATGAATATGTTGAGGGCAAATTGGAACTTTAGTTTTAACAAGACAAAATTAGAATTCCGATTCCACTAGTGATAAATTCATACAAAAAAAGAGAAAATTTTGGTCATAGTGGTTGTATCGATAAGTGGCATAAATATAATATATGCGTTACCATCGAATCAAAAAAAAACAAATATCTGAATCGAATCCAACACTCACGAGAGAACCTCTTCAAGTGCTAAAAAGCTTTTGAGCTCAAATTTTACCTATAGATAGGGGATATATAGACGAGAAAAATTCAAAGAGGATATGGGCGCAAGTTGTGATTTGGGTGAGATATCGACTTTTTTACTACAATCTTCCTATAGGACTCGACTTATCCCATGAAATCATACATTCGAGTTTTGGTCAGAAACTTTGTAGACAAGCTAGTATGATTGAGACCTCGATGTATGTAAAGTTTCAGGTCAAAACTCGAAACTTTGATTTTATTCGAAAAGTCAAGTCTTATAGAAAGATTGTAGTAAAAAGTTGATATCTCAGCTAAATCACAACTTGTGCCCATATCCTCTTAGGATTTTTCTAGACTATACATCTCCTACGTATAGTCAAAAGTTGAACTCAACAGCTTTTTAGCACCTGGAGAGGTTACCTTGAGGGTGTGGGTTGCTAGGAAGACGAGAACACCCATAACCATCCACACCTATGGCATTATGTTATTATTGCTTCGCATCATTTTCGTAAATCTGGAATGATGTTTTTTTAGCAAAATTCAATTTTAACTTTCAACAGTCTCCATCGAATGGACAACATACATTCATTGCAAATCCTTAGAAAGTTTAATTGTCAAATGAAACATGTTATTGGTATTGATATCATTCATAAGAAAGTATTACATTCGATTTGATTGAAGAAATTTATATCGATCTTTCCTACCAGGCCTCGAAGTCGGTCCACTTTTTTATGGTCCGGTCCGACGAATGCCCTAGGTCCGGGCCCGAAAGAAACTTCGTTTACAAAGATTTTTTTCTCAATAGACAGCTATTTCATATTTTTCGGCTTTTATAAAAATTGATCACCAAGGTGGGGGGGGGGGGGGGGGGGGGGGGGGAGGGGAAGGGTAACGTGGAGAAACTTCCCCCTATCCCCCTCAGGAGTGAGCCCAATCTCAGAAAAAGTTATGTCAAAAAAGGATAAAATCATCGTACCGGACGGTCCGACATATTTCGCTGGGCCGAGCGACTGAGCTGGGTGGCCCGTTTCGAGACCTGTTTTCTACATTATATTAGCGGGGAAACATAATATTTTGTTCTTGTGAATTTCCTAAGACCTCGTTCGGAAGTTAACTATTTTAAGTCAACACTCGTTTCGTCCTCTAGAAAGCTGCTGTTACAAAGTTCGAATAGTACGCTTTTTAAAATATCTAGAAAAATCCGACCAATAGATCTGATCATCGGATTCTTATCGCCACGTTCCTACTATTTTTTGCATATTTCTGATGAGTTTCCATCAGAATCATTAATCTAGGTTTCTTTTGTAAACATAAAACGAACTTAACATTCCTATTGTCTGTTCGTAATTCAATATAACTCTAACAAAAACTAACCATTATTAACACTAATTGGTAATTCAGTAATTGCAAATAAAGTATTTCCATTTACAGCAAAATATTTAAATTGTGTTGATGTCATTGAATTAGAAAATGTTGTTTCATCCAACCAATTTCTACATATATCATTTTTCAAATGTAAGACAGCCTAAAAAAAATATATATACAAGTGTTATTTTATATCGAATTCTAATTAAAAAAACAAAAAGCAACTAATGTTTATATTTTCAATATGAAAAAAAAGCACAATCAAATGAATCAATGTGAATATGTGAACTAAAAATTTGGTCGAAAATTCGAGCAACAATTTTAAAAACCTCTTCATTTAATATATCACCAGCAAGTTCAGCATGTCTACATGCTCCTTCCACAGAACGCTGTGAAACATTTGTTAATTGGCTTAAACTCTATAGGGTGGGTAATTGATGATTCTCAATAAAATAAAATAAAATAAATAAAAGTTATCTTACTTTATGTTCAAATAGAATACACATTAAATATTCAGCAGCTTCAGCAACACGTTGTGATGCTGGATGAAATTCTTTATATTTTTTATAAATAATTTTTTCTGATGACTAAATAAAACAAAACAAAAAAAAAATGTAATTTTTATTTTTAATAAAAGATTTTATTGTTCTTTTTGTTTTGTCTTCAATTATACCTGAGCTTTTTCACCCGATATTCCTAATTCAATAATTTCACATAATTGAAATAAATTTTCTACATCATCAAGTAATGTTGGCCGTTCAATAATTAATGTTATTAATGTATTATATGTTGCAACACATGTTGAATGCATTTCACGTGTATGATGTTTTGGACTTAAATGTAATTGTGTATCAATAAATGTACATAAACGTTTAAGAACTTTTTTCCATATTTCAATAGCTGACAAAAAATAAAAATAAAATAAATATTTGAATATTTATGGATTCAAATATATACGTATTTGACATATTGGATCAGTTACAAATGAAGTAAGTGTATCAAGTGCAGCCAAAAATAATTGAGAATCACTTGTACCTTTCTCGCAAATTAATAATACTGCATGACTTGAATATTCCGGAGGTATATCTATAAATTAGAAAATTTATGCAAATATAATTTTAAATTTATATTTGTTGATTAATGTGAATTGAGTTTGGAGACTAGAATAGGCATGCAATGAATCAGAACTTCAGTTCGGAAACTACGCTCAGGCTGCATTGAGTATTTAGGTAGTTCTCCAAGCAGTTCTTGACGCATATAGATGATTATTGAAGCACTCTTAGATTCGGTCAAATTCAAGTTTGGATTTTTCCAAACATCGGTAACCTTTCTTTTTTTTTTGGTAAGTCTACTATCTTTCACTTTTTGGGTCATTTACTTTATTGTCTATAGATCTATTATAACCAATTGTGAAAGTCTTTCGTATGTTTTACTTCTATTCCTTAGTTTTAATAATTAACTGAAAATGATTGTATTCAAGACCGAAACCTAACGTTCGAATTCGATGCATGTCTAGACTAGAACTTGTCGAGTCCAACATGTTTTAGATCCAAACGGCACTCTAAATTTCAACGAAATATTTTAGTCTGAGTCTGATAGTCGCTGTGATTATTTGTATTCTGCTAATGATACATCCTACATATTTCTCAGACAATATTCACGATGATCTCATAGACAATCAAGTTATAATTGGTTGCCATTTTTTGAGTGTGACTTGTTAGTTCGGTCTCCACATTGAAACTAATCCGACGAGCTCTATTGAACATAGACTTAACACGACTACAAAAAGATCTTTCTGAATGATAACACTAATCTTAACGAAAAAAAATCGTTTTTCTAATAGTTTGTACCTTTTGTTTATTTTTTTCTGCATTTCGATACAATATTCAACTACAACGAACGAAACAAAACCTAAAACTATCGTTTGCTTTCCTATTTACTCATTTTTTCTTTTTGTTTGAATAATTTGTTTCTCTATTGAAAGAAGTCATGAACTTAACTCGATCCGATCGACTGAAATGCTATCGGCGCCAATCAATGCATCAACTTATACCTTTCGGTCTAAGACAACAATATTTTATTTAAAAGAGAAAACTTTAATAAGTAAAAAAAAAACAAAACTTATTAGCACAATCGCGCTTCAAGTTTGATATAATTAATTTTACCTTTATTAACTTTTTCTTCTGATTTTCCTTGTTGTCGTTCATCGTGAGCTAATAATGAACAAGCTAAACGAATAGTACCTATACATTAAAAAAAAAATCAATAATTCAATTTTATTTTCTTTATTAAATTATCTAACCAAATAATAATTGAACATTAGTAATATCTTGTTCGATGTGTAAAGCATTTAATAATAATTGAAATATTTTAAAACGATATTGTAAAAATGTTTTAACTGTTGGTTGTACATCATGTGATTTTTCAAGATAATCTTCAAATAAATATTGTTGAAGATCTTCATAATAAAATGGTAAACTAACAATTGACATAAGTATTTGAATTGATTTTAAACGAATACGTATAAAACGATCACGAATAATTGTTACATTTTTTATATTTGATTGATTATTAATATATGTTTGAAAATCAATTTGAAGATAACATTCAATAGCATCTAAATAAAGTGGTAATAAAATATTAATACCACGTAAATTAATACGAAATAAATCAGCACTATTTAATAAAATTGATTCAATTATTGTTCGAGAACGTTGCTAAAAAAACAAAAACAAGTAAAATTTATTAAATAGATAATGAAATTAATTATTTTCTTACTTCATCACCTTGATAAAATCGAAGACCTTGTTGTAAAACATAATAAAATCTACTTAAATATTCTGCATGTATAAATTCATTACAATGTGCACTACCAAATATTGTACATATTGTTGCAAATGATTTAGCAAATGCTTCATCTATTAAACGTTCATTCTATTTATATATAAGATAGATTTTTTTTTTTTTTTTTTGAAGAATCAATTCTATTACCTGAATATCTAATGTCTTATCAATTTCATTTATTCGTGAAGCTAGAATAAATTTTTTTTATTACATCAATCGAATGTAAAAAATCAAAGAATAAATACATACAATCATTTGAATTAATTATTGTTCCTGAACGTGTATAACGATCTTTCATTTGTAATAAACAAGCATCTAATATCCATGGACCATATAAATGCATTAAACTATTTATAGTAGGTCGATTTATTCGTAAAATTTTTGATAATTGTTCAGAACGATTTTGTTGAGAAATTGATAATGATAAATTTGTATTAGTTGTTGGTGATACTGCTGAAGATATCTGACTAGGTGGAGTACTGACTAAAAACAAAACAAGTATGTAAAAAATATGTATCGAAAAAACAATAAAAAGATATTAATGGAAGTAAATTATCAATGATTAGATAGGAGTTTAAACTAAATATTCGTTTATTTCACTTTATATTACTTCTTCGATTTTCAGTATATGATTTCGTAGGTTTTAATGTTCCCGCTATTGGTGGTTGTTGCTGTTGTTGTGAATTTGATGGAATTGCACGAACAGATTGAGCAAAAGGACGTGATGATGATAATACATTACTATTTGATGTTGGATTATCATTCATTGAAACTGTTGAATTACTCATAGGTTTAGGGCTATATAAAGAAGTTGAATCAATATCTTTTCCTATGAATAGAATTTAAATAATTATTTCACTTTTCAAAGAAATAGAATTTTATTTATTCAATATATACCTAACCATATATCAACAAACATTCCAATTGCTTTAGTAACATTAACAAAAATACGTGGTAATTCTTGTAATGATGTTAAATCTCTTAATTTTATATTTGAATTTCCTTGTAATTGATTTGCGTATTTTGGCATACGAAGAAAAATCTAAGAGAAAATATATAAAGAGATTTTTTTTTCGTATTCTTATCTTATTTATTTATCTTTCAATTTACTGTAACATCACCACATTCAGATGGATTTTGTAGAATCGTAAGAAATTTGATCCATGTTATAACAAGTAAATCTAATGGAAGAGAATCGATTATCTTTTGTATATAATCACTTTGATCAGTTTCAGTACCTATTAAACAATAAAAACAAAAAACAACGATTAAAAAATAATTTATCAATTATTTACAAATATATTGAAGTGGTACTAAATCTGGCCACCATAATTTTCGTACAACAGTTGATGTAAGAACACATGTAAGTTGTGCCCAATCTAAATGTAAAAAAAATAAAAATTAATTTTTTTTTTTTTTTGGAATAGAAAATTTTCTATATCGAAAAGAAATTGAATCAGGTAACAGAATATTATTTCGCAAGCAACTATCCATTTCTCGGAACAGATTATCTCGTCACTTTGAACGCGATACCATGAACTCCAATGAATTTTCTATGTTTCTTCGCTTTTCTCATTAATAGTTAATTTCATTCAAAAATATAAAATATGCAATCAATAGAGCATGATGAACCCTGTCCAGAAAACGTCATTATCATTTATTTACAATATATCAAACATATGCATATCATCATCATCTCAAATTAAGCTTATTTGCTTTACAATGTGGTCCTCTATTCGGACTATTTTTATACAAGGATGTGTCGTAGAGCTAAGTTTATACTTATCATGGCTCCAAAAATTACTCGTACAGATTTAATTTCGAGTTTCTCCTTAGTAGTAACTCACATAAAGAATTTAAATAATCGTTTGAATAGGAAAAAAAATTTTGCAAAAAGGATTCGAGAGAAATAAAATCCTACACCCATCTTTTCAGTTCACAGAATGCGAAAAAAGTTTCTTTTGATAAAATGACACGCTAAAATCAGACAAAAAGAACTTTTAGGTTTCTCTTAAAATTTATTTAATTCAATGAAAAAATATCATGCCAAGCTCAGAGACTTGTCATTTTGTAATGAATTTCTTTGCCATCTTGTGTAACCAACAGAAGTGTCTAGTTTCGGATTCCGGGATTGAAAATCCAAGTTTAGAATTTTCTAAAGTTCTTGAATTTTGAAGATTTTATTTCCATCAAATTCTTATCGGAAATAATTTTCTCTATTCAAATCACTATTTTGATTCTGTACGGGTCAAAAAAAAGAAAACTTGATCCCACAGGGCTCTAATATATGTCGATATTAAAAACAAAAAACTTTGATCTAACCATACACAACAGCAGGTCGATGACACCAAGTTACTGCATAATCACGAAATGTTCTCCATAAACCAGGTGGAATATCTACTTTACAAACAGCAACCAAAAATACTTGATAAATCGATGGTACAAGACGAAAACTCATAACAGCAGTAGCTTCTTCATTTGCTATTAAATTTTACAGATAATAATAAGATTTATTTTACAAAGAAATAAATAACAATTATAATATACTTCGATAAGGTGAAGATAGTACAGTATTACCAATAGCTAAAAATACTTGAAGTAAAATATGCCATAAATCAAGACTTAAATCTGTTTGACTAATCATTGCTTGTAATTGACGAAGAACTTTATGAGTATATATACGTTTTGTTAATAGATCAGCTGGTTTCTCTATTTATGTAAAAAAAAAAAAAAAAGAATAAATAAAATGTTTCGTTTTTTTTTTTTTGCTTATTATTTTTCATCATACCATCATGAACAACAAAGAGATGATATAAATGCCAAAACATTTGTGACCAATAAAATTCTGTTTTTTCTCTTAATATTGGTGGAATTGAATTTGAATTATTTGATGTTCCTCCTTCAAATACTTTTAACCATTCAACATAAATATTTGAACATAATTGAAGTATAACAGGTTCTTCACATGTAAAACCAAATGCAAATATTTCAAGTGTCCATTTAAAATCTTTATCAGTTATAATTGAAAATAATCGATTACTTATTATTAATTCATTTATATGTTTTAAATAAGGTAAAACAATTTCTTCAGCTACTGATAATGGTACATTTGATGATAATGGTGAATTACATACAATGTGTCGTTGAATTTCACTATCATACGATGAATAACCATTATACATAAACATCTAAAAAATTTAAAAAAAAAAACACAAAAAATTCATTTGTTATATCATATAATAAATTAATAATTTTTATTTGAATATTATGTTTTTTTTTTCTTTTGCACATAAGGGAATACTTGTTTATAAAAAAAATAAGACTCATATTTGCAATGTATTGAAATGTAATGTCAAGAGAAAAAGAAACGTATTAAATATGAATACATCATCTTTCTTCATTATAGAAAAAAAAGCAATTATTACCAAGCACATAACCTGGCTCCTGTCGATAAGTTCTTTTGCTCTTGAGAATTATATTAACAATAATACAATAAATAAACCACATATAAAACCAAAAAAAAAAAAAATACAACTTGTTTACGTATTTTCAACTATCAATGCGGAAGTGTATAATAAAAAGAAAAGGAGATATATACAACAAAAAAAAAAAAACACAAAATTTTCAAGATTATTTATATACAGACATTAAAAAAAATATAAACTATTACTAAACATTAGAAATCGATATATTGTTTATTTCATCACATAATTTACATACACGTACAGGTGTTAACCAATCTCGTTCTGGTACAGGACGTTGATTTGGTGAACAATTTTCACAAACACCATCACCACAACTTCGACTGCAAAAAAAAAAACAAAAAAGAATCATAAAAATTTTATTCAAATTAAATAATTTACCAATGATGTAATCGATTTGTTGTATTATTAAATATTCGTTTACAAATATGACAAGCATAACATTCATTATCTGGTTTCCAATAACTTGGTCGAGTACTTTCTTTAATAAGTTCTATACAAAATAAAATAAAAAAAAAAACATTCAATTTTTTGTTTTCTTTCAAAATATTTTTTTACCAATTGGATAATTAACTCCAATTTTTTCAAGTCCACTTTTAACAGTTTCATAAACACGTCTTGATGTTGGAATATCAACTAAAACTGCACCTTTAATATATACATACATAATTAAAAAATCAAAAAACATATAAGAAAATATACCTGTACTTGGTTGTTCAATATCAAAAATATCAGTTGGTGTTAAATATAAATCGTTAAGTTGTTCACTGGATGAAGTTGTACTTATTGAATCATCACTACAACCATTTTCATATATTTTTTGACTTAATTGTTTTTGTATTTCAGATAATGATTTCGGATTTTCATTACAATTACGACATACACGTACTGATTTTTCAGTATCAATCCATGAAACAATACGACGATATTTTGTACATGTATCACAAAATACATGACCACATACTGAAAAAAAAAAGAAAAATTTAAGAAGATTTTTATAGATTTCATTTTTTAATAAATTTACTTCGACAATGATGTTTAGAATATTCTGAACCAAAATGAAGTTTACATCCTGAACAAACCTAAAACAAATTTATTATAGAAAAGATTCTGTTGGATAAAATGACTACACTTCATTTGAACAAAAAAAAACAAACATTTATACCGTTTTTGTGGAGCAACTCGTGATGTGCCATAGAAAGTTGTATTGTCATAGAGTTTTAACATTCTAAAAAGTTATATACCAGTTACGGAATATTATAGCAATTGTGAACTATATAATCAAATATTATGACTTGGTTTTGTCAACAGATCAATGTATACAAAATTTTGTTTAAAGTTAATTCAATAGAGTTTAGTCTAGTCTTCAATAATGTCTATCTAATAATTCTCACGATTGCTTCCTTTGTGCTCAGCAGTTTAGCATTACTCCTAGCCTCTGTAATTTTTGGAAATTCTTCAATACTGCTCCTCAGGACAAAGGTGACTAACTGTACAACTTTGTCATAAATTGTGTACCACTAAGGTTTATATGTATGCCAATTGATAGTCCTCTGAACTGAAATGCGTCATAATCAAATCAGCTAATCAATAGGTCAAGTATTCGATTCGTATCGACAGAAAAGTACATCAGATTTGTGATAAATATTTTTTTAAATGAAAAGATTTCCATCTATTAATAATGAGCTTATCATGTTCTATCATTTGACATTGATAGATCTTTCGAGAATGACTGAAAAGTTTTTCACTCGCAAATCTCTGACGGCGGATGTAATTAGAGTAAGGAACTCTATTAGACTCAATATATGTTCGTTTTCTTATAATAATTAAAAACTTTGTATGCCTCTGTACCCTTCCGAGGGTCTAAAAGCAAAAACATTTTCTAGCCATTTTCGAAAGATTCATATATGTCAAATGATGAACTTATTATTCATATATTTGACTATGACATTATTCAATTCCCAGGACAATCAAATGATATACTGTGATAATGCTTAGTGGCACATTATTTATGAGAAAGTTGTACTGGTTGATCGCCTTTACTCGGAGGAGTAGTATCAGAAGAATTTCCAACAAAATACAAAACTAGGAATAATGCTAACGTTTTAAGTACCAAGAAAGCTATTATGAGAATTATTAGATTTACACCATTGAAGATCAGATACAATTCTATTGAATTAACTGTAAACAAAATTTTATATAAATTAGTTTGGTGACATAGTGAATCATAATATTTGGTTATATCGCCCATAATTGTTATAATATCCCGTAACTGATATATAACTTTTCAGAACGTTAAAAACAATGAAAATACAACTTTCCATATACATTTGGGTATATCGCGAGTTGCTTTACAAAACGGATTAGATGCTTATTTCAAAAGGGAGTTGTCATATTATCCGACAGGGTCTATTAATTTCTTACAGTAACATATTTATTTGGTACCCAATACGATGGTGCTACTTGATCAGCGACCATTTCTGTTATTAGTTTTGTTGGTGCTGAAAGATAACTAAAAAAACAAACAAAACAAAACAAAACATTGATTTAAACATTTTTGTTTTTCATCAATAAAACAAACCTGCTAGCATAAACAATTAATTCAACAAATTTTCTTGGTGTAACATCACTAGCTAATCGACTATTATCATCATCAGGCCACACATGAATTATTTCTACATATGTAACATCTTTTGGTTCATTATTTCCATACCAATGTTTTCTTGAACGATAAATTTCACCATGATATCGACATTCAATAGCACAACCAGACCAAACATATTTAAGTAATCCTTGAACAAGATTATCATTTTTTTTTATTAATTTTCCATAGACAATTGTATCACGTCCATCACGATGACATAATAAACATTTCCAAACTTCATTATCTAATTCTTTATTATATAAACATCGTTTATCACATTTATGTGGAATATTATCTTTTTCATGATTTGCTGGTATTATACATTTAGCTCTGAAAAAAACAAATTATTTTGTTGATATAAGAAGATAAACTTATGAAGAAAAAAAATAAAAAAACGTACTTACCCACAAGAAAGACATTTTGTATTACACGCAAAAAAATCATCTGGTAATGTCGATGGTATTGATGGGGAAATAACATGATTAAATTTTTCATTTAATGCCTAAAAATAGTTTCATTCCGGATTTTTTTTTTGAATGGCATCATCAAGCAAAAAGGTTAATAGCGTTTTTTGGTTAAGGTCAATAACATTTCATTTGTATTGTATGAACGAGAAAGTAATTGTATCGTAAAAAAAATCCAAAGGACGAAACGTATTCACTCAGTAGTGAAATATGATCATTTTAGGATTTTTCATTAATTAGAGTCAAATTTAATGAGAACATTATCTCGTTAATAAAAATGTTTTTGACAATATCAAACAAATTCTGATTGTAGAATTGCATCCGAATCGGTTTTTTTTCAGAGTAAATCGGAGTTAACAAGGAAAGCTCCACGAACTGATTAATTGCTTTTGAGTCCTGACTGTGTGCATCATGTAGACCCTAATGAACTATGGATATCTTGAAAAGAGTTCGGGTTCTTAGCCTATTGCTGCGCAGATGTTATATTTTTTATCATTTTTCCATCCTTCTGCAAGAAAATTCATTTTCGAATTTTGACGTGAAACTTTTCACAAAGATAAATCTTAACCAGAATAGCTTATTATAAAAATTTCAGATCTTTTAATTTGCTCCTATCCTGAAATCAACCGAAGTAAAAAAAAACAACAATATAGTTTTATTATAGTCAACTACTCTCGTTCAAGACTTATCTCATTACAAAATTTCAAGTCAAAATTCAAAAATAAGATTTTTTTAGTATTTCTGAAAGGAACTGCAGTTTGGATTTAAAAAATCGTCCTGTAAAGATGCCGTATCTCTAAAACTAATCCCTAGCTTTTTTTTCTCTATTATGGTACACTGTGATATAGTAGCGTTCGAATCTAAATAGTATTTCAGTTATGCATATATTTTTTTTGGTCGAATAGAAAAAAATTTATTTTCCTTATGATGTAATGAATTTTTTTACTGACACAGTACCTAGTATTGTAATTGATAACGATGAAGTGAAGAGTTTGTTTTTTTTCTTTCGGTTGCTTATCAGTAAACTTTTAATAAAATGCACTCAAAAATTTTTTTACATTTACACCATAATAGAAAAAAAAAAGTAATCGAATGTATAGGTTAAAATTTGAATATAAATAAATTTATTCGTACTTTTAATACTTTGAAAATAACGGATAAAGGTCTTCGAACACGTCTATTATCATCAAGTGCTACTGTAATAGTTTCTTTGATTTTATTAAAATCTGATGATTCTTCTCCTTGTGTTTGAATACCAACGTATTCAATTGAACTATAATAATAAAAAAAATAACCAAGAAAATTAATTAAAATTTAAATAACAAACCTATAAGCATCATAAGATAATTTCATTGTTTCAAAACGTTCTTTTAATTGTTCAACAGCTGTTTTTTGACATTGAAAATAATCTAAATTTATTTTTTTTTATTTTATTTTTTTTTTATAAATTATTTATTAAAACCTTTTAATATTTCTGTATGTTGTGTTTCATGAAAAATAATTAATGTTGGTCCTATAGTTGATATAGATTCATCAATTTTACAATTTTTCATAATATTTTCTAATTCTTTTCGAAAATATTTTATAAATACATTTGAAATATCAGATAAAAATTGAAACATATCATTTGATAATTTCGATGCACGTGTACGATAAATAATAATATCACTTATACAAAGAATTTTAAGTAATAATCTATTATGTTTATTATCATTTTCTGATAAACCAAAATGACCTTCAGTATCAAATATAAGTATTCGATGATATTCATCAAGTGCTGTCCATATACCTAATGTAGATGAATTAGCTGTTGATGATGTATGAAATATTTCTTGACCATTAAAAAATACTTGATTAAGTGTATAAGATTTACCATCACCTGTATTACCAATTATAGATATACATTTTACACTAAGATCTTTTTCACATTTTAAACGATGTAAAAATTCAGATTCATTGTTTATCTAAAGAAAATATGAAATAGGTTTGAAAACAAATTTATAATTGATCTTGTGGTATAAAGTAGTGGATTCTTTTGGTTTTTTTTTCATAATGTTAAGCACGTAGCTCCAATACAAATAGTGATTTTAATAGCCAATGGAGTTTTTTATCCAATACACTTTATAGCAAGATGAACAATGATGGCAAGGCTCCTAAAAAACCGAACACGGTATTTTTCAGGTTCTAGAAAACTTTGTCAGAGCTATTTTTGAACGGTGCCATCTTAAAGAGCACAATGAGGGGTCGTCGAGTTTTCTACGAACCTCTCGTAAAAAGTTACAAACATCACAAAAATCATGAAAAGGGCATTTTTAGTCGATTTTTAAAAAAAATTTCGTTTTTTCATGATTTTTGTAATGCTTGTAACTTTTTATGAGAAGGTCGTAGAAAACTTGGCGACCCCTCATTGTGCTCAGTGATGTGCTCTTTAAGATGGCATCGTTTAAAAATAGCTCTGACAAAGTCTTCTAGAATCTGAAAAATACCGTGTTCGGGTTTTTAGGAGCCTTGTCATCATTGTTCATCTTGCTATAAAGTGTATTGGATAAAAAACTTCATTGGCTATTAAAATCACTATTTGGATTGGGGCTACGTGCTTAATATTATGAAACCAAAAAAATCGTTGTTACTAAACTTTTTCCCATCATTCTATATTCTGATTTATAAGATACTTCGCTGGAAATTATAGAATATTAAACTATAATCTTTAGTTCTGGTTAGGAGAATTTTTTTTTCTCGTAGTACCACACATCTCTACTCAAGGCTGATGATATAATTGAATGAAAAATAATGAGGAAAAGGTTAAATAGATTCATTTATTTATTTTAATTTATAATAATTTTTTGTTAGTCTAAAACAGAGCTGCGAACAGACGACTTTTGTCGGGCCTGGCCCGGGAATATATCTGCAATCCGGTTGATATTTTTGATTCTTCGAATATAATGTTATTCTAGTTTTAGTTATTCACTTAATTTATTACCATAAAGATAAGACATTAACAAATTACAACAAAGAGATAAAAGAACACGTAGAGAATCAGTACTACTTTTAATAACAAGCATATGACAACCAATCTTTGCAAGAGTACGACTGCAAAATTCCCTATTCGATTGTTTTTTATCTAAACAAGTTTTTTTTTGCCAGTCAATGTAAATTGTACAACACTACATTAACTTTTGATTTTGATGGAATCGAATGAATCTATCAAAATACTCTCGAATAATACCGTGATGCATGAATATTTGATTTCCAAAACGTAAGAATCAGATCAATAACTATAACCTGCTAGACTGGCAGCTCTAATCTAAAAATAATTAAAACTATATCGAAAGAATATCTTTGAACTTTTATTAAGTTCAAATTCAATTGAAGACAATATCACGAATAAAAACTGCAAAAGCATGATTTTATAGAGAACTATCGATAGTTCAAATTTAATAAGAGTGAAGTTCAGTTTTAAACATAAAACTGAATTTCATTGAAGTATCACTTTTTCATTCAAATGTTGTAATCGATCTCTAATCAAATATGTCTTCGATTTAGGAAAATATAATTAACAAGAAAACGTTCCTAATTTTCAGATCGTTTGAAACTATTGACATTAGATCGGACTTAATGAAAAATAAAAAGTCTGTGTTGAGTTTGACTTTCTAATCATCGCTTATCGAATTATGAGCGTTTTACTCAGTCTGTATGATCGAATCTCGCCCATAGGTCGGGTTTATAGTCACAAGAAATTCCTCAAAGCTTGCCTCAGAATAAACACATTCTTTGCTATGATATATCCGTCTATCCTAGTTCTAACTTTGAGAACGTTTCGAGTGCCTATTTATGAACGAAATCAGATCGTCCAGATTCTCAGCGATCCTATGTTCATAAAACACTCACAATTCGACAAGCAATAATCGGAAAATCAGATCAAAGTAAACTTAGCATTTTTCATAAATAAACGAAACTTACAGTTAAATGTTCATTAGTATCGAAGAGTAAAAATTCTTTCTGTGAATCACTATCAGATTGATTTTGTTGTGAAAGACAATTATCACTTTTAATTGTATGATCATTTTCATTATCATCAATCATTGATTCAAGTAACATTTGTTGATTAAAATTATGTTGTTTCGGCATAGAATTTGATTTATTCATTTGATAAGTAACTGATTGTATTGAATGTTCTTTTCGATTTAATAATGATATATTATTTTCATCATTATTATCTATTTGAATATCTTCAAATGAATATGCTGAAGGTTCTGTATTATCATTATTTACATTGGAAGACGCAGGAATTTTAATCGGTTTAGTTTCAATTTTATGTTGATCACTAAAAAAAAGTATACATATGAATTTCAAGCATTTCTTCTAGCTAATTTTTATGTCGAGTTACTCTAGATATTCCGAATACGTTTTGTAGAGAATTACAAAATCTCTATGTAAAGTTTCTTTTGAGTATGCTTAGATTTTTCAAACAAAAAGACAACTGAGTTTATTTGTTGTTAGCGATATGATTGAGTAAGAATATAGAACTAGAGTCTATTCCAAAATTCTTGAACTTTTCCATCCTACCATTAACGAGCTATTCGTTAATTATATTTTAACTATTGTCCATTTTTTTAAAAAAGTCGTTTGGAACGAATGCTTATAACTTTTGAGAGGAAAAGGGATGGAGCAGGGAGGAGCATGTATTATTATGAAATAACCAAGCTCCAAGTAAGGTTTATCTTCGAATGTAAACTTGGCGAAATTGTCATTGCCGGAGAGTACATCTGATTTTGATTTCTGCTTACTGGAATTAATAGCTCGGATTGAGATCTACAATTTTAGACTAGCTCCAAGTCTGTATCTTTTACAGCTTAGGAGTTATAAGTATTCTTCGTAAAAGTATCTACTCCTATCCGTACACAGGTAAAAATTTCAACAAGAAAACCTTGACATATGGATTAACAGATACTCTGAACATCGAGACGTTGTTTATTTGGAGTTTAGGAAACGTCTTTTTGAACTCGAGTCACCTTCAAAAGAAGTTATACTATAGCAGTAGACTGCAAATTCAACATCATAGAGTAAAAAAATGGTTTTTTTTTAAACATTCATTTCTAGCATTCTATAATTTTTGGGTCCGAATTAGATAAAAAAGACGTCCATTCGAAAACTTATCGTAGTAAACCTTTCCTGAAGATCTGGTTATTTCATAGTACTACGTACTCTCGCTGTGCTCTAACCAACAATGAAAACCGCAGATCTCTATCGCTTTCTCTTCGAAAGCTATAAGCGATTTTTTTTTTAAAATCGATAATAGTTGTGAGCAGAAACAGTCAATATTCTTATGTAAAAGAACTTATTAACATAATCCTAATCAAAGATAGTCATGTTTCGTTCTTGTCCATATATAAAATGAATACTTAATATATTAAGTTATTATGCTTATCGTTTATATTTTAAATAGTTCATTCATTATGAAATAACTTTCAAGAGTTTAAATTCAATTGAAAGAAATAATTGATTTTATAATCTCTTTTGAAATTCTTTTGTTTTTTTTCTTTTTAATATTACTTATTATTTTTAATTGATAAACTTTGTTCATCTCGATATTTTTGTAATTTATGTTCTCGTTCATCTGACTGTTGATGTTGTTTTTCATAACAATTATAACAAAATGATAATGAACATGTTGAACAATAAAAAATAGCTTGATGTTGTTGATCAATTGAACAAAATTCATTTTCAATTTCATCTAAATTTAATCGTTGATGTTGATTATTATTTAAATTTTTATGAATTTCATTATCACATAAAAAACATTGTAATGAATTACATTGTATACAATAAATTATTGCTTTTGATAATAATTCATTTTGACATAATAAATTTTTTGTACAAGTTAAATAAGATGTTTTATTTTTAAATTGATAATTCCATAAACAAACACTTTCGGCTGTTTGCATATTTTTAAAAAAACAAAATTTTTTTTATTTTTTATTTTTTATTTTATGAATAAATTAAAGCAATTAGTAACGTGATGTATGTCATATTTAACCAATAGAAATAATTATAAATGAATAAAAAAAATATTTTTTCTAAGAAATTTGTTTTTTATTGGAAAATATCTATAATTAAATTATTTATTTTTTAATTAAAACTAGATGTCACTTGATAATTTTCAAAAGATATTATGATTGGTTGAATATTTTTTTATGACATTCGAGACAGAGAGACAGACAGAAAAAGAAGGATTTGTATTTCCTTCAGGTGACTGAATTTAATAAATAGAAAGAAAAAACAAAACGAATTGTTCTTTTTTATTTACTTATATTAAATTATGGCTGATAAAAATTTTTTATTAAATACTGATATGACACAAAGTATATCAATTGATCCATCTGCACTTTTAACAACATCAACAATAAATGCATTACACTTTCCTGATTTAACAACATCAGGTATATCAGATTCAGGTGGTGGTGGTGGTGGTGGTAGTAATCGAATAATAAATTTAAATCTTGATGGTGTTGGTATGTGTGAATCTATGACAGAAAGTTTTTGTTCAACAAATGGACAAGATGAAACAATAATAGGAAATAATATAAATGGCCTTCAAAATGATGCATCAACAATTAATAATTTAAAAAATCTTGGAAAAAAAGAATCACTTAATACACAAAAAAAACGACGTTCACGTAAAGCACAATATGATGCATCAACAGATGGATTATTATCACTTGATAAAATTGAAACTGTTCATATTGATGATGAACATCATGAAACTGATGATACTTGGTAAAATTAGATTTGTATTTTTTTTTGTTTCAAGGTTAAACAAAAAAATATATAACATATTTTTCTTTAGGTTATTTCAAATACCGGGAGGTGGAAATAAAAATAATTTAACATCAGAAAATATTTTTTCTTGGGTACATAAAGAATTTAAAGAAAATGATATTAATGCAACTAAACATCGACTACTTTGTAAACTTGATGATATGTCACATGGTAACAAATTTTCTTTTTTTTTGTTTTTTTTTACTAATATTTTAAGAGATTTTATAAATATACCTTTATAATAACGACATTAATATATTTAACAGCTTTTTTTGAATATGGTGTTGTTCATTTCAATGTGAAATTCTCTTAGAATTAGTCATGGATTAACCTTGAACTATGGCTCGATGTTCAGATTTGTGAACTATTTCAGACAGTGTTGAGTATTTAGGTAATTATCTAAACATTCCTTGAGGTATATGGACAATCATAGAAGTATTCTTTGATTCAATTAAGTTCGAACGTTTTTGAACATCGTTAATTTTCATTTTATGGATTATTTATTCTACTTCCAAACGCGTTCGAAGTCGATACATGTCTACAGAGAATTTTATGAATGAATTTTAGAGATTCGATTTATATCTTAATCTAACATAATAAATTCCGGATATTAAAGACAACTTTTCTTAATGATGAAAATGAAGGTCTTTGTTTTATTTCATTCTACTGAAAAATATCTTTAATCTATCAAGGATATAACCTTGAAATCATGAATTAATCTGATAATTAAGATTACTCTCCAATTTTGCATAACTCAATACTTCTCATATTACATACACATGACTAATTTAATATAAACAAATGTATGTCATTCTGTTATTATATTCTTATTTGATTAATAAATATATTTTATGAAAACCAAAACTCGTTTTCTTTTATTTTTTTTTTGTAGCTCGTACAATACGAAGTCTTTCATGTCATAATTTTGCTGCTAATCAAACATCGGATGGTGTAAAACGAAGTTCAACAGAACAACAAGTTAATCCAGGTATAAATATAAATAAAAATAAATTTATTCTTCATCCTCAAATTTCTTTATCTGATTTACTTGAAAATGCTCTTTATCTAACTGAAATTTTTACATTATCATCAAAAAAATTACAATTATCAACAATAAGTTTGGATAGTATTGAAAAAGATCATGATCAGTTTGATTTATTTCTATATGATTCACTTAATGATGAATCATCTGATGATGATAATGAACAATTTTATGATTGTTCAAATGATACACCCTTAATTCAAACTATTACAAATGAACGTCAATTAATTGAACAATTAACACGTCGATATTCATCATTAGATAGTCTTGATAATTATGATAATACATTATCTCGTAGTAGTAAGATGTTTTAGCATGGTTTGAACAAAGTTCGAATGAATATGAAAGAGCATGTTATGAAATATTTTGTTTTGATGTGTGATTGAATCAATTTGTTCTTTTTTTTTTAAGGATTTTTATTTTCTATTTATATATATATATATTATAGAGCCTGTAACAAATGTTGGTCGAATGACTTCTCCATTACGTACATCTACACCGATATTCAATACTAGTGGAAATACTCGACCAACATCACCAATTAGTTCATCACCACTTCGACATACTATCACAATTACAAATAATACTGTACGTTCAAGAGAAGTTTCAAAAGAACGTGAAAGAGAACCATTGGATTATACTGATCTTGAAGGTAAATATTTTTTAAATATATATATATATAGAAATTTTGTAATGAAAGATATAACAAAACACAAATTAATATTCGATTATTATTTTCTTTTTCTTTCATATGAGTATGAGGTTACGAAACATTTGATTTGATCCTTTTCGATAAATGAATGACAATGTTATACACTTCAACTTGTGTAAATAAATTGAATAAAACTGTCTGATATATATATATTGAAATCATTCTATATCTTTTGTTTACATTAATATTTTTATTCTTTTTTCTATAGTAATGGCTAAAGTACAACTTGAAAGTAAGTATTTTTCATTCATATAATAATGAGAAGAAATAAAAATAAAATTATCTATTGTTATTTTTCAATAAGATTTACGTCAAGCTGAACGACAAGGTCCATTATCAAAACGTTTCGGTAAGTTTCATATATATTCTATTAGATGCATGTTAGTTTGCTCATTGTAATATGATTTTGAGATGGCGAATAAAAAAAAAAAAAAAAAAGAACAATTTATAATTTTTATGTTTGGTATATGTATATATGTATATGTGCACCATTGTTGCTTTTTTTTTCGTTGTTAATCTATACATTTTCAGGAGGCAGTTCAAATACTTTATTAAGTACAGATTCACGTGATGTTTCACCTTCATCCGTTTTTGGTGGTACACGTAATACAAGTCCTGTTGGTAATAATGGTTATATAACACCTCGACGTAGTTATTCACCAAGTCCGGCTGCTGCCGGTGGACGTATTCCAATACGAAAAAATTCATTTGTTGTAACAGAATCTCAATATACTCATGTATTACCATCGGTTTCACCACGAGCAACATCACCAGCTATAAGAACAGGTCAATGGAGTGGTCGTGTAACACCATCTGCACTTGAAACTTGTATGGAAACATCATTTATATCATCAAATAGCCCTTTGCAATCTTCTTTGTTGCCTAATAATGCTGACAATACATTTATCGATAGTGCACCAGGTCCATTATCACATACTAATGTGTATATAGCTCTTTTTTTTTTTTAATACTTTGCACATAGATGCTCTACTAATTTCTTGTTGATTACACTTTTTTTTGCTATTGTTTGCTTTATTCGCTTGCTTTTGCTTTATGTGCTTGTAGGTGGTTCTAATGTTTCGCTTGCATCAATCAGCAGCTCAGCTACTATAACTATGACAAGTGAGTTTGTTTATATAAAAACGAAAAGAAAATGGAAGCCCTTTTGAAAGAAATTATCGAGTAGTAGTATTGCTTTTGTTTCTTGCATTGTAATAAAAATGCTTGAAAGCTATAGAGAGAATAGTTTTATTATTATTAGAATTTTATTTCGTATAAAAAAAAAAAAAGAATCATCATTGTTTAATATTAATAGAAGTGCCATAAGCTAGATTATCAAATGCATAAAAACATTTTGAAGTTTGTTGTTGAGAATATATTTTTAATTGATTAGAATCAGTTTTATGTTTATCTAAAAGACAAAAAAAAAAAAAGGAAAAGAAACAAATTATTTAATTTATTTTTTTTTTACTTTTTCATAATAACTTACCTTTCTTTTTTCGAATTATATGAATCAAATTTATTTTGAATTTTTTTGTATTCATATTCTAAAAATGATTCGATAAAGTATATAAAAATTGATGAAAAAAAAAAAAAGTAATAAAACATAAAAATAAAAGACTTTATCAACAATTGACCGTCATATATTCTTATCGTATTTTTATCTATCTTATTTCACAGCGTTAAGAAGTTACATATCTATAGCAGCTTTGCAACACACATACGCGTGTTTGTTCTTTTTTGTCTTTCAAAAATAATGAAATAGCAATATTCTTTTTGATTGAATGCAAAACAAAAAAGCTTTATATATGCTTTTGAATAAATTGCTACATATATGTGTATTTGTGTTTATTTAATCTGAATGTTGATATAATGATAATTTTATTTTGTTTAATTATTTATTTTATTAGATCAACAGGGACAAAAACCGCCTCTTGTACCTAGATCAGCCATCGGAAGGTTTGTATATTCAATAAATCTTCTTATCAATACATATATATATATAATTTAGAAATGGTATTAAACCAAATAATCATCGTCGATCAAATACACAAACAATTTCAACAAATATCCCAAATGGTTATGATTTACCTGATGTTACTGATACAAAACCATCGACATCAATAAATCGTATTAGTACTACACCAACAAATTCATCTAATACAAATCGTCCACGTCCACCTATATCTCGACCATTACAATCTTATCGTGGTTCACAAACATCTTATAATAATAATGTCAAAGTTCCACCAGCACCACAAAAAAATATTAAAAAATCAACAAATGATTTCGGTACAACATATACAGCTAAACAATTTGTATCAAATGATAATAATTTATTAAATGATGTAAGTAATAAACCATTAACAACACCAAATCGTTCACAAATTGTATCACAACGACGTACACCAACACAATCATCCGTTGAAAAACTTCCACCATCATCATCATCTGTCGATATGATGGCAACAACATTAGTAAATAATGAACAAACATCAATTCCACGTAGTTCATCATCATTAAGTCAAAGTAGAAAAAGTGGTATACCAACAATTGGTAAACCACGACCAAGTATTTCAACTGCTACACGGTAAGTTTAATATATCAAAAAAAAAAAAAAAAAAAAACAGAAACTTTTCTTTTTGTGCTCGGCTTGCCTTTTTTGTTTTTTGTTAATTGATGATGGTTGTTTTCAGCCATCATTCACTTGCACCACGACGTACAACAATCAATGGATTTTAAATTTAAAAAAAAAATAGGCATGAGTATATTAGAGAAACTAACTGAAAATTACTAATCGTCTAATTATTTCTCTGAATTGAAATATCGAATTTTTTTTTTTGTTTTTTTGTCGTATTAGACCAACATCAACAAATGTAATTCCTTCATCCCAATCATCGGACAGTATGATGGTAACTAGAAATATTCGAACACCAGCAACTGCAACTCGACCACAAATTCCTGATAACATGTCACCGACATCGTCATGGAATGAAGGATGTTTTTAATTATTCTCATTATTTTTTCTTTTTGATCTGTATCTTATTATGCATGCACATTTCTTTCCTTTTTTTTTTTTGTTGTCGTCTTTGGATCTGCTCAACAACGGTGACCTAATAATTTTTTTCGTCTCGTTTTCTTTATGGCTATAATAACAAGTTATATTTTGTCTCATTTGTATAAAAATTATTTGTTTTTTATTATTATATATTCATAGTTTGTATTCGTCATTTTTGAAGTTTTGTGTTAATCATCATTTTGTTTGAGTGTGTACAGGGTTTTAATATTCTAGTTGTTTTTCACAGTAATTGTGCCTTTATGTTTTGTTTTTTGTCTTGCTTTGTATACATTCTTATATTGTATTTAATCTCTTTATCCTTCCAGACAAGTATATATCGACGATATATATATATATATATTATCAAACAGAAGAGAAAAATTTTTTAATGAATTATAAATAAATAAGAAAAAAAAAAGACAAAGGCATTTACATTCATTAAGATTTTTTTATTTTTGATTCATAGAAATAAGAGTGGGCGGATGATGTTATCCGTCTTTGGTTAAATGTGTAAGATGATGATTAAGAAATTCATTTGGTTCTTTGCGATTAATGTTATTTTTTTCTCTTCTTTCAATTGCATCCAGTGTGTCAATTTATCATCATTCGTCTTGAAAATAATTGCATACGATCGGAATCTATCATTTAGTTATTTACAAATTGATCATTATTTATTATTTATTGATCGAAGGATATTGTAAACGTTATATTTATGAGACAAAGAAAAACTTTTATGTTAATAATTGACTTTCAAGTGAACTAAATAATTAACTAAAGTATCTACTAGATGGTTATATTTAGTTTGAATAGCTTCAGTTAGATATAGGAGAAAATGTTGTTTCTTAACTAATTATATATCACATATCTAATGTTAATGAAAATGTGAATGTTTGCGTGTAAGTGGAGAGTAGGGAAAAGAATGGATTTTTTCTTCATCGACATTCTGAATATTTGGTGATTCTTGTTCTTGTTTTCACACAATAATAAATCTTTTATCATGATGCATGTATTATAACTGGAAGAAAAAAGACACTGGAATTTTCTGAGATCTAACTGAACTACACAAATAAATTAGAATTGGAAGATATCAGGCTGATTAAGCATGCCTAATATGTGTGTTTTCAATTTATTGATTAAAGATGTGAAAGAGAAAAAAAAGAGCATATTTTAAGAGAGTAAGGTTTAACGTCGACCAGCCCATGCATTAAAACGACCTTTTGACGCCAGACTACGTTTACCAGCCCAAGCATTGAAACGACGTTTTCCAAGCTCATGCTCATCAGAATCATCAAATATTGAGCCATCATTTTCATAGATTGAATTGAATTTATATGGTGATAATATCAATGGTCCTTCAATAAGTTCATGATTTTCATCATCAGTTGTTTTGCTTGATAATGCAAATGAATATGTCATAGTTAACTATAATATATGTATATATACGATGAAAATTAAACGAAAAGAAAATAAAAAGAAATTTTATCTTTACCATAAGTAAAAAGTAGGCAAGAATACCAGTCAAAATGATAGTTGTATTCATGATGGTTAGTTTGTATAGAGAAGGCTTATCTAAAAGATGTATATATATATATATATATATATAGAAAGCATTGTTACAGAATAACTCGAAAAATTATTTTTTTTCTCATTCAGAATATAAACATACAATTATAAGAAATTCATCTACGTAAGAAACCTTTTTTCTAATGATCTTCATTCATTATTACCTCGTAGTTATTGTCGTAGAAGTAACGTACTTGAATTGTTCGTTTGTTGTCTGCTTCTTCTTATTGTTTAATAATAAACGTAGATATACAATACTTATTGTTTATCGATGTGACCTCAATAAAAAGAACGTTCGTTGTTATTTTTCTTCTTCTCTCTTATTCCACTTATTTCTTTTTTTTTTGATTAATTATTTTCTTCTTCAATGCAATATTTGTCACTCTCAAAAGTATAACGAGTTTATATTGACTCATATATGCATAGAACTAATCATAAATTTGATCGATTGAGTATTCGAATAAGAAATGAATTCATTGTTAACGGACACGAATTATTCATGCATTTATGATTTAATTCTTATAAAATGAACAAGAGTTTACTTATATCATAATAAATATTTTATTCATTATTCAATGACAATTGATTAACTTGGCACAATATTATCATTGAAGCAATTAGTAGAGAAAAAATATCTTGTTTTTTTTTTCTTTTTCTCACACAAAACAAAACACTTGATTAAGAGAGAGAAAAAAGAAAAAATAGGAAAAATTTTCAATTTATAATTGTTTTTATTTTCGAAAAAAAGAAAGTAAATCAAACAACACCGGGTTGATTTAAAAACAGTCTGTGAAGAAAATAAAATTAACTAGCTCCAGGCTTTGTTCCAAATTGAACATTGGCTGGTTTTAATGTTGCACGTGGTTTATTAGGATCACGTGGTGTTGTTGGCATTTGTGCAGGTACAGGACGCCATTGTGGTTTAGTATTCTTTAATGATTGATCAGCAAGTGCTGCTTTAAGACGTTCAATTTCATCATTTAATTCTTTATTTGTTTGTGTAAGTCCTTCAATTTTTTCATCACGCCATTTTATTTCATAAGCATTATCACGTTCTTGTTTTGATTGTAAAACATCTTTTGTACATATTGTTGCTAATTCAGCTACTTGATTTGTACCATAAAGTTGTAATAAAAGTGCATGAAATGGTTTATTTTTACGATCTTCTATTGGTAAATAACGACTTGTATAAATAGCTTCATATAATTCTTCTTTAAGTTTATCTGTACCTATTTTAATTAAATTAATATATATATATATATAAGTATTTTTGAGATTTAAAAAATTAAAAATAAATAAATTTTATTATACCAATTCCTTTTCCACGAAGAGATTCAATTTCTGTTGTATATCGTTTTAATTTATTTTGTAATTGATCCATCGAATCTGATTCGATACCACTTTGTAATATATTTGTTTTTAACATTTTATCTAGAATATTTTAAAATATTATTTAAATCAATTTGATTCAAATCAATATACCTAAAGAACGAAGCCATTCAGTAAGCATAACCATTTTATCATGCATTCGAAATACACTTCGATTATTTGCGTCAACCTTAAAAAATAAAAGAAAATCAGTATTTTTTTTTTACTGTTATTAACTATTTGTACCATACCATTTTAATCTGACTTGACCATCTTTGTTCAAAATCTGATCTAAGTCGGGTAACTTCATTACGAAGTTCTTGCATTTCTTCTTCCTAAAATGATTAATAAATATTCATATGAAATTAAGATTAAATTTGACAAGTACTTTTTGTTGTCGAGCAAGTTGTTCATTTCGAAGAGCATCTTTTAATGTGATTATATTACGCTTTTCTCTATATATTAATATTTATATGTATAAATTTTCTATTGAATTAACTTACTCTTCTAATGTTTCATTTAATCTATGTTGAGTTTCATAATGTTGTCTTTTAAGATTGATAACTTCGACTGATTTATTTTGATTTTGAGCTTTCCATGTATCATTTAAATGAGCTTTTAATAACTAGAGATTAAAAAAACAAAAAAGAAATAATTTTTTCTTAGAAATATAATTTTCATTGTTTACTAATTCTTGAAGGTATGTTTTAAGTTTATCTCTTGTATCCGCACGTAATTTATCAATACCAGGACATTTTTTAAGTATATCATCATCAATAACTACTCGTTCGGATGCATCGCCTACTATTTCGGATGCTTTTTTATCTAAAAATATTTTTCTTAATAAATATAATTTTTTATTGAATATGTAATTTACCTTCACTTTCAAGAAGTTCACCTAAGAAAGGTTGACCATTTGCAATTAATCCTTCAGCAAATTTTGTAAAAGCTGCATCACCATTATCAATAACAATAGTTAAAAATTTTTTATTTCTTTCTGATGACGTCGGTATAGCCTATTTTAAAAAGTCAAAACAAAAAAAAAATCCCACATTAACAATAATATAATTTAAAAAAATAAAAATAAATCAACATACTTTAATATCATCAAAGGCAAAGTTAGGAAAAACTTTTTTTTCTTTTAACCAATTAATTAAATCATCAGTTAAAATAAGATTACTTTCTAATAATGTACGATATCGTTCTAAAATAATTTTCTTAGAATTCACCATGATATTTATCTATGTATAGTAACCAATCGACAATGGTATGTTTATGTTTAATGTGTCTCTTTTAAAATCAATGTCATTGAAAAAGCAATTCTATAAATTTTTCTCTTTCTCTCTCTCTCTCTTTTTTGTATGTTGCTTTTTTTAAATTTTTTTTTTTTTTTGTCACTTCATCAACAACAAACAATTCTCTTATTCTCTATATCCATTCGTCTTTCTTTTATGTATGTAAGAACAGACTACCATTCTTTCACTCGATAGGTATGTTTGGTTTGTTCACTGTGTACGTATATACTTTGAAAACAAAAATAATTCGAATAAACTAAACAAGAATAAAGACAAAAAAGAAAAAGAAAACTGTTACGACTCGTGTAATACAAAAAAAAAAAAAAGAAAAAGAAAAGAAAGCAGCACAATGAATGATTGGTAGTAGAATAATACAAAATTAAAGTCGAATTCTGAATAGTAAAAAAAAAAAATGAAAAATGAAGTATTATTCAATGCTCACATATTTCTTCCCACCCATCGGTACAGTTATAATGCCATTACATTATAATATATATAGCATAATTATAAATCGAATATAGAAAGTGAAAAGAACTTGTTGATTGAGGTATTGAGTTCATTGATGATTATAAAATGTTCTTTCATATTTCATATACGAGTGGAATTTTAAAAGAAAATTTTGATTATTAAACACAGCTTGAAATTACTAATAGTTATTTATATCTTGTTTTTATTTTTAATAAATCATATGTTTGAAGATCTTTGCTAAAGATCTATTTTAGATACTTTGGGTAGCTTAAGTACCTCAGGTTATTTGTAACGAAGCATTGCAAATTATGTCATAATTATACGTTAAACGCTCCCACATCCTCTATTAGAGGACCGCCCGGAAGAAAAATTTCACAAGACATAATAGAAGACAATGGATTTTCCTGATTGAATATTAAAAACTATTGTCGAAAAAATCTTGGCTTTTGCTAGGCAAAATTTAGCAAAAAACTAGCTCGCAATGAAAAGCTACCCCTGGTAGAGTGATGTGAATTTCAATAACAGAAGATTGAATTTTTATTTTGGCGAGGGTTGTGAAAGTGTTACTCATTCTTTCGTGTACTTAGTAATACATGATGAAGTTTATCGAAATCATAAGAGATGGAAAACATTATGATTATCAAACTCATCTGGATATAATTTTTCTTTTGTTCACCGCTGTATATTTATTCTTTAATAATCATTCAAGAATTACAATTGAATTTTGTTTATCTTGTATTACTTTTTTAAAATTTCGACAATAAATTATCTTTTTTTTTAATTTCTGAAAATATGTCAATAATTGAATCCTCGTCAGGCATAGTTAAATGACTGGTGTTTGTTATCTAATAAGTTACTTTTGATAGAAAGCTTTTACCTCAAGCTTAAGTTCACTGTTTACTTATATCTTTAATTTACAACTTATGATCTTCAGATAATTTATGTTCTTACTACAACTATGAAAACCTGTAAATCTTATCTAGAAATTAATTAAGATATTTTTAATAGACGTATAATAAAACTAATATTTTGTGTGAATTCAATTACTTTTCAAATTGACAACATCAATTTATAATATTAATCTGACAAGTTCTTGTTTATAATAATAGTAGAATCAAAAGTGAATATTGTCTCTTATTTACACGTCATACAATGACTACATCCATAAAAAAATAATTTTGAATTTAAATAGATAATAACGAAGCATAAATTCATCAAAAAAGAGCCATTCACAAGCTCGAAATCTTTCCATATACACTTAAGATAAATAAACGGGCCAAATAATAACATGAAAAGTTAACACATCCATATTATAATATATTTTTGACTATTACAGTAACGAATAACATGTCAGCCAATTAAGATCATGAATATCATTGGTTTAATATGATGAAACATTTGCGTACCGTAACATAGTGGTAATACTACAAATACACCATGGATAGTTATAAATAATTGAAGTTTCGCTATATTACAGTCCATTAAAACATAAGTACATAAGGCAATACTATATGAATAGCAATACTATAAGAAAAAGATTATATATTTTAACGGACTTTCTTTAAATCTTATTATTTCATTGATTTAGATGAAAAAAAAGGTACAGTGCTTTCTTCAATAATATTTTAACGACTTTCGCTTGTATTTTTTGTCAATTTAAATTTTTATTATGTTTTGAAGTAAAAATATGAACTTTTTTAGTTCATGCGAACATTTTGACATTCCAAATAGTTAATTAGAAGTTTTCAGTATTGCTCTACAGAACATATTTACACTGAAAGTATTTGTTTTTAGGCCTAAAGGATTTTCTTAATGTAATTTGTATACAGCACTTTCTCTCAGCAATAGTTTTTAATAATAGAATAGATTTGCTTTAGATTCAAAAAAGTAAGTCTGTTGAGCATTAATCAAGGCCTAAAACTATAATTTCTGGAGATGAAACTCACACGCAGCGCTTATCATATAATAAATGTAGAGAAGATAAAAAATATAGCATCTATGTGCTAACCTCACTGCGTTGACATAAGTCATGAAAAATAGCAAATCGACTCATAGCATCCTCTTTTGTCTAGCGCATCCGATTGAAGGAAGTAATGAATTGATGTGAAATAGACAAAGACAATTTTGTTACCTATTCACATATTAATATAAATGCATACTCGAATGTTGAATGTTTCGGAAAATTGGATTAACATTGTATTTTCGTAGTTTAAATTCTATTCATTTTATTAAGTTATAACATTTTCCTGATCATTTATAATGTAAGTATTTGATGTGCCGAGTAAACAAGCTTGATTTTTTTTTATTAACATCTTTTTTAGTTCTTTCTCTATTTGTATGATGCCTGTTTCATCATCAACAAATACAAAGTAAGGATGATAGACAATCATTCATTACTATCTGTTTTTATTATAGAACAAATCCGTATATGAATACTGATGAATTTTTTGAATATCTTGAAAAACGATACAATAATACATTTGCTGTTTTTATATGTAAAGAATTACAGATAATCACTCCATCAATCTTAACGGTATTAACAATCAAAGAACTGAATGATTTAGCTCATACAGTTTATCCTGATTTAAAATCATGTAGTGTAGAATATTACACTGGTGATTATGCAGATAAGAATGGCAATCATCAATTAAAACATAGCATTGTGGCTTTAATACAAATTTTGAAAAAAGAATTTAGTCTTGATCGTCGAAAAAGAGGCAGAAGTATTTCTTTAAACCCGCGTAGTAAATTTAGATATAAAAAAACGATTTGTCTTTTTCATATTAGCTGATCCGACAACAACTAATTCAAGTGAAATGAGTGAAGCAGATACTGTTGTCAATAAAAATGAAATAAATTTATCCAATGATAAACACATCGGAAAACGTAAACGTCGTTATTGTAAGGTTAGTTGGATGGATTTTATAAAATTTGTTGATATAGATATTCGTAAAAGGTTTCACCTTAATCAGTGCACTAGTGCTTAAAATCTACATTGAAAAATAATTGTTCTATATTATTTCCGATTCTCGTAGAAAAAAAATCTTAAAATCAGGTTTTAACATGTTAAATAGACTTAAGTCTAAACCCATAAAAATTCTGTCTCGACTACATATATTGAAGTATACAAGATCTGAGTATCCCAATTGAGTAGTAGTGTTGTATTTTACATAGGCTGACTGTAGGTAGTTATTTAATTGAAAGATACACATCTAAACTTGAAATGTTTACTCATTATTAATGAAGTTATACTAAATGAAAATCTTTTTAGGTTGAATCGTCAAATCATTATTCAAGTGAGTCATTCTTCTTTTTTTTTTGAATTGTTTGTATTGTGTTTAATATTCAGGTAATATTGAATGGTCTTTTTCAAGTGACGAATATCAACCTCCATCACTCGAACAATTATATCCAAATGAAGATGCTTCTGCTCAAGAACGAGCTGATTTTGAACTTTTAACTAATGGTCGTATGGATTACTTTTGTCAAAAATACTTATTTTTGATGAATGTTAATGGTATGGATTTAGCGTTCTATTACTCAAATGAGATATTATAGATCATTGGATGATAATATGACATGTCTCTTCCTACTGATAATTTTCACTTATCGCAAACAATTCTAGTTCTTTTTATTTAGTACCGTAACCAGGATTGCCAGATCAAAAACTTGAAAATCAGAAATTTTTTTTCAAAATCAGAGAACAATCAGAAATTCTTCGAGCGAAATCGGAAATAATTGAGAAAAACGATTTTTTGCAAATTATTAGCTATTATGTTAATATGTTTGTAGCAAACGCTTCACTGATATTTTTTAAATCTCTCTATACGTTATATTCATAGCAGTGTTGCCAAATCTTCTGGATTTTACAGAAAAATTCCGGAATTCGAAAGTTCTGGAATCTTTCCAGATTTTAGATACTTTCTATTTCAATGATATTTCGCATACCTTTTAATGTTAGTAAAAATTTATCAATAATTTAAAACACACTTAGCTTTTTCTATTGATTAGCTCAAGGGACTAATTCCCATGTAAGAAAATGGTTAAAAATCAGATTAAAATGGCACTATTATAATATGATTTTAATCACTCTTCAACTTTATAGAAAGATTTTATTTGATTTCAGCATTTTCCTATCTCTTTTAATCGATTATTTAAATAAAATCAATTACAAGCGACTATTAGACATTGATTTTAATGGATTAAAGTTCGTTGATCGATTAAAATAGATCAATAAATGTTAAAATCAAATGAAATCTATTTTTAAGGCTCAAACATCAGATTTAAATCAGATTGAAACATGTCTTTTTAATCGATTTTCCATCTGATTTTGAACAGCTTGTTTTTGGATGGATTATTTCCCCTTCATTTTTGAGAAGAATTTCTTACTTTTCTTCTATT